ATATTAAGGATTTGCTCTCTCGTACTCTTCTCTTTGACAAAGCCTGCTTGTTCTTGGGGAATTTGGTTGTCTAAGTACTGTCGCAAACGGCGTTTAATGATTCTTAGTAATATTTTGCTTGGATGGGAAATCAGTGAGATCGTACGTTAATTACTACACTTTGTAGTTGTTCCTTTTTTATGGATTGGTATGCACAATGATGTGCGCCATTCTCTGGGCCACTTTCCGCATCTCCAAATTTTATTACAAAGTTTCCACATTACGTAACATCCTTTGTCTCCCATGTTCTGAAGGAGCTTTCCCGTGATATCATCGCAGCCAGGGGATTTATTCTTCTTGAGGTGAGTTACAGCTTCTTCAATCTCGGACAGCAGAATTTCAGGTTCAGGGTTGTATTCAGTGTTTTCGAGGGCTGAAGTGTGGCCTAGATTTACGTGTTCTTCCCTGTAGAGCTCTGAACAATAGTTTTTCCCTGTTTCCAACACTTTGTCGATATCACTTATGATAATACCATGTTTGTCCTCTATTGCATAGTTCTTGGGTTTAAATTCTCTCGCAAGAATTTTCACTTTCCGGAAGAGGTCTTTGGTTTCATTTGGATATCCGTGATTTTCTATTTCTTGAATTATTATTTATCATAAACAATTTATTACTTTCACTACATGTTGGAAACAATTAGTTTTGTTTCTAGTACATTTTTAATTTTTAACAAGCAGTAACGTAAATCAATATCTGTTTTGTTGCTTCACAAACTCAATTAAAAACGTAACAATATTGGAGCTGATTATTAAATGACAAAACCCAATCAATGTTATTTACCAAACATTAATATTTAATTATTTAACAACAAGTTGTATATTAAATCAAGTTTAAACAGTTTTCGTCAACGCCCGAGAGCTTGGAAATGATTTTTTAATAATTTATGTCTCCTGCAAAACATACAGCGGTATACAATTTGGTTTCTCTTTGATCATGATGGCGCATCGGAACAGCAAACATTCCAAAACACGAATGTAAATAATTGCGAATCTATTTTATCATCAGACACTCAAATACGATTTCGTTGTTATTTGCTTGAGTGCGTTACAGTTTAAAAATCGCTTGCGCATACATTTGCTAGTTTTGTTTTTGAAATGACGTTAGTAAATTACAAAAAAAATTGGAAATTTATATCTCTTTTACAGAAGGGCTAAATTTGCAATGAACGATCACTTTTACAATAGGCATGACGATAAACCACATTTCGTACAGTTGCGGTGAACAATGTAGTAGAATGTTCAGATATGAAGGTTTTGATAGTTCTGCTTTAGGATATAGTGCGGAAGGTAGTTGTTGCGGTAATTAAATATGTAATAACATGCCGTAAAAGTGAATAGAGGAGCAGAGTGCGGCTCGGACCATTGCCTGATAATAGGAAAAATATATACACCATTCGTAGACAGGAACCACACAGACGTCAACAAAGAACACAAAGAAAAAATAGAAAGAACTACCTACACCTTAGACAATCTAGATAACGAGAGCACACAGTTACTTTACTCCTGGAAAATAACACAAAAACTACAGGAATCACACAGATCAACGACGGATGAATACGAACATATAAAAAACTGCATGAAAGGAGCAGCGCTAGAAGCCTTAGGGCCACAGGTACGGAGAGTAGATAAACCATATTGGTGGGATAAAGAAGTGAACGAAAAGATAAAAAGAAAGAAGAAAGTATATCAAAATTTAATACAACAGGGAGACGAACAAACACAAAAACAATATAAAAACTCATAAGAAGTCAAACGGAAGTGGTTAAAAATAAAAATAGTGCATGGGAACAAAAATGCCAATACCTAGACAACCATATAGAGGGAAAAAGAGCTCTGAAAGCCTAAAGAACTATAAAAACAGATGAGAACAACGACAAAAAACACAAGTCATAATCAATAAAATACCAGAGAACACATGGGTAGAGTATTTTGAAAACTTATTAACAGAGAGAGGAGAAGGTTTTAAACAGACAAATCAACAAGTGGAAGTAGAAGGAAGAATAGAAATATCAATAAAACAAGTAAAAGAAGCAGCTAAGGGAACTAAATTAAGAAAATTTCCAGGCCCATGCGGAGCACATCCAGAGTTAATTAGATATGGATCATCAAAACTGTTTGAAATGACAAGAAGATACAGAAGAACGGAGACAATCGTATATCTCTCCGATACACAAGAATGGCACAAAGACGGATCCTAAAAACTATAGAGGGATCGCAGTGATTGCTACTATAGGCTTCACTACTGATAATATTTTTACATTAAAAATTGCAATGGAAAAACGAGTGCAGAGAAATAGAGAAACCCATATAGATTTAATAGATTTGGAACAAGCATATGACAGTGTACCGATCTCTTAACTATGGATACAAATGGGTAACTTAAAAATAAACCCAAATCTAAAACGAGACAACTGCTAGAAACAACAGAGATGAAAATACTCCGACGAATATCAGGGACAAGTATGTTGGATAGGGAGAGAAGCAAAAACATAAGAAGGGCATGCAATATAGAAGACATAAATGGATGGGTGACAAAACGAAGACAGGAGTGGAACAAACACATCAGTAGAATGGCAGAGGATAGAATAGTACGAATAGCACGAGATAAGTCACCAAATGGACGAAGAAGTATTGGCAGAGCAAGAAAAAGATGGTGCGATAATTTAAACAATTTAGGAGGCTAATATTGAAGAAGAAACAGGCTTTAAAGCCTACATACTAGAAGGAAGAAGAAGATCAATGTCTTCTACATCAGAAACTTTCTAATCTAATCTCGGCGATAAATAAACCACATTAAGTGAGTCAGCATTTTTACAATCTGAGTCTTCTTCTAACAAAGCTATTAACTCTTTAGTGGTTAGTGCCATCTTCATTTCATATTTCGAAAATTTACTGAAATAAACAAATGCACTACTATATAAATGCATTCACATGATAATAGTTTAGCTTACTTCATTTTAATTTATAAGAACTTTCTAATATATTTTCATATTTATATAAACAAATTAACACAAGGAAACTTTCAAATTAAGTTAAAAGAACAAATATAACGTTTATAGCACACAGCAATTCTATCAATAGAGAGTGATGTGTAATGATTTGTGATTATAATTGCAGATTGTTTTTGGTCTAATGAAAAAAAAATAGGTATTTTCCAAAGTTTTCTGTTTTTTGAAGTTCTATTTTAGATACTCTGTGATAAGAATAAAATTTTACTTTTACACAACTATAAGATACCTATTAAAAGAAACATGATAATTTAATAATTAAATCGGTCTTAGATTTAATTTTTACGTAATTACTTATGTGTTAAAATATTTAAAATTTTTTGTTACGCCTCTGCAAAATTGATACGAATTGATTGATTTGAATACGATTTCGTTGAAAAGTTATCGTTAAGGGCTTCGTTAAGTATGATGTTGCCAAGTAATCACCTTCAATTAAAAATTGTTTTAGTATAGTTGTAAAATTGTCTTAGAAACCGGATCTTAGTTAAAAAAAAATGATTTTGTGTCTACCTCAAATTACAAAGGCAATTTAATGCCATCTGGTAAAAACCGCGTCTGAAATAGCCGTCTACCTACCGCATCGTCTAGGAATTTTAATTTTACGGGTCATGGTACCTATTTTTCGTCTTCGTAGAAAAAGAGAAAAAATTTTATAAATATTTTTCTAAAACGATCTAAATATAGAGTGAAATTATTCAAATTTCGCGACACTGATGCACACAAGTTTAAAATAAAAATATATCGAGGTTTATTACACTAGCGAGGCATACTAAAATTTTCTAATAAGTATTTAATTTGATCAAGCAACTTTATATTTAGATTAATAACAAAATTTTCAATAAAAGCTACATGTATATCCAGGTTAAACTTTCTGCGTTTTTTGGCGAGTTTTTTTATTTTTAATTTGTCACAAGTTAATGATAGCCCTAAGTACTTCGATTATAACTTTTAGTCTATTGTGTAAGATCTTTGCGTGTATTTCATACATAGTATTTTTAGTAAAATAATGTCTCTATAGTTGCTTCATCTCTACTGTGTCCCTTTTGAATATAGGAATTCCCTTCGGAACTTAACATCATGGGTTGGAATTTCGTGCCAGCCTATATTACAAAGGTAGAGCAGTCGTAAGTGGCACAAAGAACCCGCATAATTAATTAATTATGAATTTATCCGATGTATCCCTTTAGATTTTCTATTTTTTATATTTACAAGTAAGGTATATACTTTATCCATAGTCAATAATTTCATCAACTCTTTTAATTTTGCTATAATCTGTCTAATTCCTTCGGACTGCCAATCTTTCAATTTTGGTATAATCTGTCTAATATTTTATCCATTAGTTTTATTTGATTACGTTTAGTTTAGTCATATCTTTTTCTATTACTTATATTACTTCTATTGCTTCTATTGCTTCTATTGCTTCTATTGCTTCTATTGCTTCTATTGCTTCTATTGCTTCTATTGCTTCTATTGCTTCTATTGCTTCTATTGCTTCTATTGCTTCTATTGCTTCTATTGCTTCTATTGCTCTATTGCTTTATTGCTTCTATTGCTTCTATTGCTTCTATTGCTTCTATTGCTTCTATTGCTTCTATTGCTTCTATTGCTTCTATTGCTTCTATTGCTTCTATTGCTTCTATTGCTTCTATTGCTTCTATTGCTTCTATTGCTTCTATTGCTTCTATTGCTTCTATTGCTTCTATTGCTTCTATTGCTTCTATGTTCTATTGCTTCTATTGCTTCTATTGCTTCTATTGCTTCTATTGCTTCTATTGCTTCTATTGCTTCTATTGCTTCTATTGCTTCTATTGCTTCTATTGCTTCTATTGCTTCTATTGCTTCTATTGCTTCTATTGCTTCTATTGCTTCTATTGCTTCTATTGCTTCTATTGCTTCTATTGCTTCTATTGCTTCTATTGCTTCTATTGCTTCTATTGCTTCTATTGCTTCTATGTTATGCTTCTATTGCTTCTATTGCTTCTATTGCTTCTATTGCTTCTATTGCTTCTATTGCTTCTATTGCTTCTATTGCTTCTATTGCTTCTATTGCTTCTATTGCTTCTATTGCTTCTATTGCTTCTATTGCTTCTATTGCTTCTATTGCTTCTATTGCTTCTATTGCTTCTATTGCTTCTATTGCTTCTATTGCTTCTATTGCTTCTATTGCTTCTATTGCTTCTATTGCTTCTATTGCTTCTATTGCTTCTATTGCTTCTATTGCTTCTATTGCTTCTATTGCTTCTATTGCTTCTATTGCTTCTATTGCTTCTATTGCTTCTATTGCTTCTATTGCTTCTATTGCTTCTATTGCTTCTATTGCTTCTATTGCTTCTATTGCTTCTATTGCTTCTATTGCTTCTACTGCTTCTATTGCTTCTACTGCTTTTATTACATCTATTGCTTCCATTACTTTTATTGCTTCTATGGCTTCTATTGCTTCTATTACTTCTATTGCGTCTATTGCTTATATTGATTCTATTGCGACTATTATTCTTTTGCTTCTGTTATATAATTTATATTGAATTCGCGGATAATATTGCTAACGAAGCTGTAGATCGCAAAAGGTATGCTAAATAGTATATTACATAATGAGAGTTGTCAGAAGCTTACGAGCCGCGTAGCGGCGAGCGCAGTAATTTTACAAGCATGTAATAAGCTTACAACTCAAGTCGTGTACTATACTTTTTCTACGAATATTTCATTTATAACTTTTATTTATTTAACAAAATTTAAATTAAACAGTAATTTATAATACTTAATTGTAAAATTGTTTCCTACAAGCTCCACATATTCCAATAATTGCAATAACCTTAAAATAAAAGTATTATAAGTAGGCACATTTATGTTATACTTTTAAATAACATACCTTTATTAACAAGTACTGTGTAGGAGCTCCATTTAAAAAAGTTTTATTTCATTAGGATATAAAATTTTAGATTTTTTGTTTTTAAAACCTGATTGCCTTTTTAGATAAGCTCGCAATTTCGGGTAATTTTCAATATTAACATTATTTTTCTTCAGCATAGAATATATTGCTCATAATAAGGATGGTTTAAATTTCTTAGCGATTTCTCCAAAATAAGCCAAGAGTACGTTTTCAGAAAATGAATTTACATTATTTGTTGTACGCCAATCCATAAATTGCTGATATAACTTTTTATATCTTCCTCTAGATTTTTCTGGTAATAGGTTCTCGGTAGCGTTCGCAGCTAACTGTATAATATTGGGTGGTGTGCTACTAAATTCATCTTCACTATTCGATGAACTCATTTTATTTATCTGTATTTAATTACCACTATCTTTACACTGACATATTAATAATTTTTAATCTGTCAAAATAACGTCTGTTAATTCGTTTTCATGGTAAGTCGACCAACTGACTTACAAGGCTTATGTGATATTACACATTTTTACAGAACTAAAGCGTAATTTTTTTTTATTACGTTCTAGTCATTACGTGTCAGTATCTGTTTTGATGGATTTACTAAGTATCCAAATAGTAGGTAATATACAATTTTCTACTCTCTTACTAGTAAATTGGATGGATTGACAACCTTCCATAGAGATATTAATCTGCCAATGAGCAAACAGAATTGCTTATCAAGAGGAAGAAGAAGAAGAAGAATATTTTGTATTGTTGTCGACATTGTTGTAACTTGCGATAGATTTTTTAAAATGATATGTTGTGAAATAGATCGTTTATACTTTGTCCTTGGAGTAGGAGCACTATATTTCTTTAATAGAGGCTAATTTTTGGGAGTTTAGTTTATTTCATTTGGCTATTGGTGATATTGTAGATATCAATAAGCAATTGATCTGCCGCAACTATAGAATCTAATAGCTTTATAAGATATTATTCCATCTTCTTATTAGCTAAGATTTAATCTATGGGGCATCGTCAAACACTGCCACTCTGCAAATATATACAAGTGTCTATATTTTTTGAGGAAAAAGTATTTGTTTGCTTTAGGTCGTTGAAGATTACAAATTGTCTTAGTTCTACCATATTCTCATTTCACACACACACACACACACACACAATCACGCGAGGCGATCAACCCTACCCCTAGGGACATGTGTATACCACTGTAAGAGTGGGATCCACATGTCCGAAAATCAAACCAGTCACACCTCACTAGTTGAGGTGGTACCTATCTGACCCCAGGCTTTTCCTCCACCCCTCCTCAGCGTGTGACTTACGTGAGGAGGCTTATGATCTGAATGGTACGTAAGGTGCCTTGGGTAATAAGACACCTTCTGTTTTTAATGACTGTGGTTAGGCCACCTAACTGTAGGGGTAGCACACATGTCGGCTTTTCTCCCTATTTAACTTTACTGACTCTATAGAAGTTACTCTAGCTTTACATCGGGACTCATGTCCCTAAAAAAAAGCGTGTGTTCCAGATAGAGAGCTGTCGGTGTGTGTGCTCGTTCACTCAGCCGCCGATTTGACAAAATAAAAATTTTGTTCTCCTCGCCGGCTGGGTGTTCGAGAAGTGAGTCCTGGCCACCGAGCCCAAGCTTGCCGCACATGACCTCGATGCTCAGAGTCCGCGTTTGATCAATATTTGATCTGCCTGAAGGGCCTATGCCTGCTGGCTGGATTCTCATTTACCCGTTCATCGCCAAAGGTTCAACAAGTCCTGGTATTAGTCAAGTCGACAAACGGTCGTTTAAATGTACACAAATTAAACTTTAGTCCACTAATTTTTTTTTTTAATTAAATAAGCAATATTATAGTTTTACCAGACATGTCTGCTACATTGAACGGCACTGTAAACAGAAATTTTCCTGTGCCAATATCAATAAAGCACTCCATTCACTTAACATAATACACCATAAATTATAAGAGATTTTAAAATTATTATTGAGAAGAATGATTAAAATTAAAATTAAAAATGACAAATAATCTAATTAATCTACTAAATATATCGGACATTTATTAATTGAATTACAATAGTTTGGACATAAATTCCATTAAATAAAAACATATTATCTATTCAGGAAACTAAAATAAAGGTTTTAAAATAAAATGATACAAATTAATCTTTGCTGTTTGCATGATAAAGTCACTGTTTGGTTAATTCACGATCAATATAAATTTTCCGATGATCAGGATGCTGGTCATATATTCGTTTATATGTTAATAGAAATTTCCGCTTCCTATGTAAATCAAACGAATTAAATCTACTCGTAATGTTGTACACATGTAGGGACTAAATTACTCGCAAAGGATTTTTTGACCCAGTAAACATTGTAATTTAATATGCGTATTGTATTGGGAGATTACAACTTTAGTTTGAAACCCAATTAAAAACATGTAATTGAAATATTTAACATACTTTTTTAGTATTCAATTTACTAATCTTTTACATACGCTAAAACTAATTTTTAATAGGTAACCCCAAAACTGAAAGTCTGTAGTCCTTCTGAAGCTGGAAAATTGACTCCGAATGCGAAAGAACCAAAGTCAGCAGCATTGCAAAGTGAAGATACCTAAATTGTTTATATTCTACCCAGTTTATATCTGGATATATAGATTTCTGTATTTAATTTTGGTAGTCAAATCCGGTATGTCTGTGATACGAACATGACGAATTATCAGACTCATACTAATTTGTTATTATACCACTTACGTTGCTTATGCAGAGTGTTAAAAATCTAACAATTATTTGCATACCCTGATAATAAAAGTTGGTTTGGTTTATATATTGGATATAATTACACTTTCAGATAGGATAAAATTCAAGATAGACTTACCGCTTGCGGTAATTTTTATGCTATCTCATATGGTGTGGTGTGAGTTGGCATCACATCTATATTTAGGTATAATTCTTCACCTAGATAATATTGAACTATTTTGCGTATAATGCTTGGTGAACCTAGAGTCTAATCATTGGAAAGTAGGTTGACCACACCACCAGTTTCTTTTTTCCTACCTGCGTAGGTATAGTTAGAATACTTGTGATAATATTATCGGTGTAGAGTACCAGAATTTGTGTACAATCTACTCTATTAGTGTGAATTATGCGCGATGTTGGCATTTTAACTTTAGATGTGTATAAAACCTTACTTTCGTTGGTTGATAAGCCAGCAATCTTCTCGCCTATCTTTCAGGGCTTCTGCAGGAGGGCAATAGCAATGCCTTCATGTTCCATTCTTTTGACCAGCATTTCCTATGCGGTATAGATGTATCTTGAGCGCATGGCTACTTATTGTTAATATATTAAGGATTCTTTTAGAGTTCTCATCAAAGGCGGTCCCATCTTCATATTGTACGAAGCTAGCATATAAGTGTAGCTTGAGTATATCTATCTCTCGGACCACAACCCAGTAGTAGCAAATATGAATGTAAGATTGAGAAAACCATTAATGAAAAGATCTAGACCACAAATATGCATTGATAAGTTAAGAGAACCAAATACATACAAAGAAACTCAAAACAAAATAAATCAGAGTATCCAAGAAATAAAACAACAAAATAAGAACACTACAGATATTGACACAAAGTGGAAGAATATAAAGAACGCAATCGAGACTGTGGGACGGAAAACTTTAACATTTACAAAAGCTGCCAAACAAGAACGGATGACACAAGAAATTCTCGAAAAGATGGACGAAAGAAGAACACATAATAACAAAGATAAAATTAAATATCAAGAAATTAATAAACAATTAAAACAGAAAATAATACAAGCTAAGGAAACATGGATGTCCATTAAATGTCAAGAAATCGAGGAATGTGAGGCAAGGTATGACACTTTCAACACCCATAAGAAGGTTAAAGAAATGATTTCAGGAAATCGTAACAAACCAATCGGGATATTAAAAAATGCAGATGGTACCACTATAACTGAAACGCAAGACAAACTACGTAGATGGAAAGAATACATTGAACAACTATTTTATGATCAAAAAGTAGAACAATTATTAGAAGTTAAGAGGGGTTAAAAGAGTTAAGTAAGACGGGACACATACCCAAAGAGTGGCTTCTCTCAACTTTTGTGACGATTCCAAAAATCACAAATGCTAAAGATTGCAATGACTATCGAACAATTGCGTTAATGAGCCACACATTGAAAACTTTCCTTAAAATCATACATAACAGAATCCACATGAAATTAGAACAAGAAATAAGTGATTCACAGATGGGTTTCAGAAAGGGTCTAGGAACTAGAGAAGCATTATTTGGAGTCCATGTTCTGACACAACGATGCCTGGATATGAATCAGGACATATGCTTGCTTTATAGATTTCAAGAAAGCTTTTGAAAGAGTTCAACATGAGAAGCTTTTAAGTATTCTTAAGACTAAAAACATTGATAGTAGAGATCTACAAATTATATCGAATCTGTATCAAAACCAGAAAGCAAGAGTAAGAGTCGAAGAAGAACTGACAGAGGAAGTC